CTAAAGACTATCTTGTTTGGAATTCAAGTAAGCAGGTTCTCTTGGCTCCAGCATCAAACAACCTGTGACAGAACATTGGAACTGAATCAACCTTCCACGGCAACTTTGTAATCCAATACTCGAACAAAACAGGATTGCAATATCACTTATATCATTAGAAGTCTGTAAGACCTGACTGCTTCTAAGCATTCTGCACTTAACTATGTGGGTATGTCCCTCTGGGAAGGATGAGGAGCAGAGGAGTGGAAAGTGGAACATACGAAGATGGTCTACTGTTAAAACAGATTCAGATTGCACCTCAGAGGCAGTAAGAACTGCAGATGCTGGAGTCAGAGATTACACAGCGTGGGGCTGGAGAAGCACAGCAGGCCAGACAGCATCAGAGGAGCAGGAAAATTGACGTTTCGGGTCAGGACCCTTCTGAAGAAGGAATAGAAATTCTGAAGAAGGGTCTCAACCCAACACATCAACTTTCCTGCTCCTCTGATGCTGCCTGGCCTGCTGTGTTCATCCAGCTCCACACTGTGTTCTTTCAGAATGCACCTCATCTGCATTTGAATTGCTATTGCTTCATATATCAACATCATTACCTGACAGAAATCTATCTCAGGTTGACATTTCCAATTGCCCTTGCTTCAAACGGCTTTTACGTGAGTTCTGATTAACCACCTACTCCACTGGTTTCACTGCTGAACACCCGAACTCTAACCTTCCTGACTTGTCTTCGATTCCCCCACGGATACATTTTTAAAAATTTATTTGCAGGATATGGTCTTCACTGGATGGGCCAGCATTTATTGCAGAGGGTAGATAAGAATCAAGCACATTACTGTGGGTCTGGAATCTCCTGTAGACCAGACCAGGTAAGGATGGCACATTGCCTTCCCTTAAGGACATTAATGATCCAGAATGCTTTTACAATAGTTTCATGGCCATCATTAGAGTCATAATTCCAGATTTCTCTTGGATTTAAATTCCATAATCTGCTATGGTGGGATTTGAATATAGGTCTCCAGAACACTACCTGGGTCTCTGGATTAATAGTCTGGCAATAATAATAGCGCCATATCTTAGGATATATTGGCTTTGGAGAGAGTACAACTTGGGTTTACAAGAATGACACCTGGACTTTAGGGGTTAAATTATGATGATTGATTATACAAATTTGGTCTGTTTTCTCTAGAATTTAAAAGGTTAAGGGATGATCTGATCAAAGTTTTGAATTCATTGACAGGAAAAGAGAGGATAGATAAATTATTTCCACTGGCTGGAGATTCTAGAAGTAGGGGCATAAAAGAAGCACTTCTACACACCAGAAGTCCTAGATGTTTGGAACTCTCTGCCACAAATGGCAGTGGATGCTGGATCAGTTGTTAATTTGAAATCTGAGATAGATAGATTTCTGTTAAGTGAAGGCATTAAGAGACATGGGCCAACAGCAGCTAGGCCACAGATCAGCCACAATTTCATTGAATGGTGGAACAGGCTCAAGGGATGAATGGCCTACTCCTGTTCATATCTTCTCACAATAACACGAAGACATTACCTGCCTTGAATATACTTCAATATCGATGTCAAACACAAAATCTAGTCATGTGGATTTCTCAGCAACTCTGTTTGAAGTACTGTGGATAATTCTGACCTTTTGTTGCTCCTTCACCCTTTCAAACATTTCAATTTCCTAGGTATTCCAGGACTACTACAGTTCCCTTTTTGTCACTAAAGACATTTTCTTTAAATCCAACCTCTTTGACTAAGCTTTTCTGCATCTTCCCTTATGTGGCTTGGAGACAAAATTTGTTCTGCACTGCTTCTGTGAAGTACCTTGGGACATTCTGCTATGTTAAAGGTTCTATATAAATGCAAGATGTTGAAGAACAGACATGTGACAATGAGACCAAACCTAAGGTCCCTAAAATGAAATAGCCTTCAATGACTCCAATAGGAGATGAAAGGAAGAAAGTTATTACTACTGAGAATGTGCATTTCACTACCAGAAGGAGTAAGATACTGTACAGGTGAAGGTAAAGTCACCATGGTCCCAGAGGACCATGTGGCTATTCTTTCATTAGAGAGAGATGACTGCGGTGAACCTAACCTTAAGGTTTCCGTGCCTGAGGTGAGGGGCAAGGTTGTGAGGATGGGTGCTTTCGTGGTAGCATCAACCAGTGTGGGAATTGAACCCATACTGTTGGCATTACTCTGTATTGCAAACCAGCCATCCAGTGAACTGAGAGAACAGTATGTGAATTACTGTAATGCAAAAGAAGGCCATTCAGCCCATCATGTCTACACCAGCTCTCAAAATTAGTGTTTGCCTCAGTCACCATTCTTCCCGTGACTCTGCACTTTCTCCCTTTCTCTCTAGGGGAGGTGATGTCCTAGTGGTATTATCGCTCGACTATTAACCCAGAGAACAAAGACAGAAATTGCTGCTAAAAACTCAGTAGGTCTGGGTCTTAGCAGTTCTGTAGAAGGGGCACTGGACCCAAAGTGTTCATTTTGATTTCACTCCATAGACCTACCGAGTTTTTCCAGCAATTTCTGACTTCATTTCTGATTTCCAGCATTCACAGTTCTTTTGGTTTTTTTTGTTTAATGTTCCAGGGATCTGGGTTCAAATTCTGCCATGAATTCAAGAAAAAACCTGGAATAATACAGATCATGAAACCATTGTTGGGGAAATCCCTATCTAGTTCACTAAGACCCTTTAGGGAAGGAAGTCTGGCCTACATGTGACTCAGTTGACCCTTAACTGCAATTAGGGATGGGCCATAAATGCTGGCCTAGCCAACAATGCCAGTATCTGGTGAATGAATTTCCTTCTGAATGCTTTAATTGAACCTACTTTCACCACAGGTAACCCACTCCAGACCCCAAACAGGTTTTGCACATTCACGTTTACTTCCTTAGGAAGTTTGATAAACACAGAGGATGAAGAGAATAGAAAGAGATGCCAATAGGGTGCAAAAATGAAGGGTGAGTGGAGGCTGCTGTGGAAAATAATTCTCAGTGTAGGTCAGTGCTAAAATGGTGCTATCACTTCTACATAAGACTGACACAGTTACACTAACATGGGCCAGCCTGGCCAGACCAGTCATCACAGGTACAGTTTCATGTGTTTATCTTCAACACACTTAAATTACAGCCTTTATCTAAAAATGACACTGCCGCATGCAAACTTTAGAATGCAGACCAGACTGTCTGTGATCATATTCAGATTTTTGACAAAGTAAAGAATAGTAGCAAATTGAATCAAAGGAGAAAAAGATAGAAGGGTTTATGGAAAATGCAGGCAAGAAACCAGATTCAAATGTCACATAGCAGGGAGAGCAACAGTAGAACAGTTGAAAGGGTTCAGAAAAAATTTATAAGGATATTGCCAGGGTTGGAGGGCTTAAGCTATAGGGAGAGGCTGAATAGGTTGGGGCTATTTTCCCTGGAGTGTTGGAGGCTGAGGAGTGACCTTATAGAGGTTTATAAAATCATGAGGGGCATGGATAGTGTGAATAGCCAAGGTCTTTTCCCCAGGGAAAGGGAGTCCAAAACTATAGGGGCATAGGTTTAAGGTGAACAAGGAAAGACTTAAAAGGGACCTGAGGGGCAACTTTTTCACACAGAGGGTGGTGCGTGTATGGAATGAGCTGCCAGAGGAAAGGGTGGAGGCTGGTACAATTACAACATTTAAAAGGCATCTGGATGGGTACATGCCAGCTGCACTACCATTGCGCCATAACCCACAGCTCCAATTGCAAGATGGTGGCACAGTAAAAAGGACCAGCCAGAGCTCCACTGCTCTGCCTGTTCTTTCTTCTTTCTTTTTCTCTATTTTCTCTTTTTTTTAATATGACTGTAATGTCTACCCTTTCAACGATGTCTTTTTTCTGTAAAGTAATGCAACAGCTCTTCTTTTTTCTTCCTCTTTTTGTATCTACGATTTGTACTTAAGGTGGCACCATAACTGATGACAATGTAAAACTTTCCACTGTACTCCTGCACATCTGTACTTGGGTACATATGACAATAAAAGATATTCTAAGGATGAATAGGAAGGGATTGGAGGGAAATGGGCCAAATGCTGCAAATGGGACTAGATATCTTATTTGCACAGACTAGTTGGACTGAAGGGTCTGTTTCTGTGCTGTACATTTCTATGACTCTATATCAGAACCGTGGAGAGAGAGAAAATGTGAGTAAACCAAGATTTTGTTTTGAAAGGTGAGAAGCAAAACAAAAGGAAACATTTGAAAAAAAGTGAACAACAAGAAAATTGAGAGGAATGAATACATTCAGGAAAAATAAAGGGAATTGGTAAATATATCCAGGAAAAAAAAGTGGAATTGGACACAAGTCTCCAATAAATATATCCAGGAAAAATAAAGGGAATTAGTAAATATATCCAGGAAAAAAGGGGAGTTGGACACAAGCCTCCAATAAATATATCCAGGAAAAAGGGGGAGTTGAACACAAGTCTCCAATAAATATATCCAGGAAAAATAGAGGGAATTAGTAAATATATCCAGGAAAAAAGGGGGAGTTGGACACAAGTCTCCAATAAATATATCCAGGAAAAATAAAGAGAATTGGACTCAATTGTGTAATTCCCTTTATTTTTTCTGGATATATTCATTTCTCTCATTTTTCTCCCTGTTCATTTTGTTTTTGGACGCTTGTGTGTCCCATCTCCAAACAAATTTCGCTGTGCCCAGGGGGAGGCTGTGCGGCGCTGAGGGAGGCTTGAGCGAGCGTAGTAGCGAAAGTGTTAAAGAGGCGGCCCGTTTGGAGGGTTTATTTCTGTGTCATCAGCCGGAGTTGGCTGAACACTTGATCTCGATCCCGAAGAGGGGCTGGCTGCAAAACGATATACTGTTTAATATTGCCAAAAAAAAATAACACACACAGACACACAGAGCTCTTGCATACAACTCCTACCCAACCCCCTCCTCCAATCTCTCTCTAAAAAAAATCCCCTTGCAGAGCTCCTGTCTCAGTGCTAGCGTGGAGATCTGAAGCAGCAACATGTGAAAAGAGAAGGCTCCCTCAGTTTGTGAGCAGCGGGAGAGACCATGGAGAAAGCTCTGTGCAATTATCAGAAAAGCTACGAGCTGTGTAGGCAGGGCCATAACGAGTGCTGCGAGAGGGTGGTCATTAACGTATCTGGCCTCCGCTTCGAGACCCAGGTCAAGACCCTCCGCCAGTTCCCAGACACCCTGCTCGGGGACCCCCAGAGGCGAATCCGCTACTTTGACCCCCTCCGCAATGAGTACTTCTTCGATAGGAACCGCCCCAGCTTCGATGCGATCTTGTACTATTACCAGTCCGGGGGCAGGTTGAAAAGACCTAACAGTGTCTCCCTGGAGGTCTTCATGGAGGAGCTGAGGTTTTACGAGTTGGGGGACGAGGCCATGACCCGGTTCCGGGAGGACGAGGGTTTCATCAAAGAAGAGGAAAAACCAATGCCCACCAACGAGTTCCAGAGGCAGCTTTGGCTGCTCTTTGAATACCCTGAAAGTTCTCCCCCTGCCAAGGTGGTGGCCATTATCTCAGTGCTGGTGATTCTGATCTCCATTGTGGTCTTTTGCTTAGAGACCCTGCCCGAATTCAGGGACGAGCAGGACCCTACCTTGCCCATTCACCCCCACCGGGGCAACAGCACCCACCTCGAGGACATGGGCAACCCCTTCCACGACCCCTTCTTCGTGGTGGAGACCATGTGCATCTGCTGGTTCTCCTTCGAACTCTTCCTGAGGTTTATCGTATGTCCCAGCAAGGCAGGCTTCTTCAAGGACGTCATGAACATCATCGACTCTGTGGCCATCATCCCTTACTTTGTGGCGCTGGGCACGGAGTTTGCCCGGCAGCGTGGGGTGGCACAGCCCGCCATGTCTCTGGCCATCCTCAGGGTCATCCGTCTGGTCAGGGTCTTCCGAATCTTCAAGCTGTCCCGGCACTCCAAGGGCCTGCAGATCCTGGGCCAGACCCTGAAAGCCAGCATGAGGGAGCTGGGCCTGCTCATCTTCTTCCTGTTCATTGGGGTCATCCTGTTCTCCAGCGCTGTCTACTTCGCCGAATCCGAGGATAAGAACACCATCTTCACCAGCATCCCCGAATCCTTCTGGTGGGCCGTTGTCACCATGACCACTGTCGGCTACGGGGACATGTACCCCAGCACCCTGGGAGGCAAGATCGTGGGATCCCTCTGTGCCATCGCCGGGGTGCTCACCATCTCCTTGCCGGTGCCCGTGATCGTCTCCAATTTCAGTTACTTCTACCACCGGGAGATTGAAAGTGAGGATCAAACCCAGTATTCCCATGTGACGACCTGCCCTTACCTGCCCCCCAGTCCGAAAACACAATCGATGATGGGGAAAAGCCAGGAGGTGGAAGACGAACTTATCGACAATTTCTGTACGCCTCTACAGAATGACATGTTGGATGGCTTTTGCCCCACTGACGGTGGGATTCCAGAAACTACCAGCTCACCAAACAGGAAACCCTTGGTCACACAAGTTTGACTCTGTTTCTCCCCCTCACCCTCCCCCACAAAGTTTCTGAAGTTGCCTTAAACATGAACGCGAACAAAAAAAAGGGGGAGAAAAAATGGCAACACTCAAAAGCTCCACTTAACTCCAGGGTTAGTTTGTTACGTCCACCCATAGGTTATGGGTGGGCACGGGGGTGTAGTTTTGGCGATGGTCAATTTATCCAGATGACTGTAAGCTCATGCTCAAAGAAAGAGAGAGAGAGACAGACAGACAGAACAAGCCTGTAAAAATTCACACGACACCAAGTCTGACTTGCTGGCTTGTGTTTTTTTTTTGGGGAGGGTGAGGAAGAGCGGGCTATCGGTGTCAGTATTTCTCTTCAAGGTAGGAAGATTCTGTTCGGATTGAGAAATGGCAGTGAGCTCTCTGCAGCTTCAGATTGTAAACAGAAATTGGCGACTTGTTTCTCCTAGCGGACTGTCCTATTTATTGTTATTTTTTACCGAGCGTGCCAGGTTCAAAATGCATGGGTATTTGTTAATATATTTATCCAGAATAAACAAAAAAGGACTTGGCAAGTTGGTGCCAGTAGTGTTTATAGCATCGATCTTATATGAGTGAAAAAAATGTTTTGAATAAATTCAATGTCTGTGTTTTGTAATGGTAGAAATTCCCAACACTATCCCAGTATAACTGAATTAGCTGAAGACATCTTTTTAACAATTACATAGAAACAAAGAAAATAGGAGCAAGAGTAGGCCATTCAGCCCTCAAGCCTACTCCAGTGTTTCATACTATCGTAGCTGATCAGTTCCTGTTCCTGCTTTCTCCCCAGAATCTTTGATCACTTTAGCCCTAAGAACTGTATCTAACTCCTCCTTGAAATCATTCAATGTTTTGGCCTCAACCGCTTTCTGTAGCAGAGAATTCCACGGGTTCCCCACTCTCTGGGTGAAGACATTTCTCCACATCTCAGTCCTAAATGGCCTATTCTGTATCCTTAGACTGTGAGCCCTGTTTCTGGGGAACATCTTTCCTGCATTTACCCTGTCAGTTGAATATGGTTGATTGAACCCAGAGCTCCATTGCAATCAAAAGTATAATGCCTTGTTAGATAACTGCAGTTCCCTCTCATCTCTTGAATCTATAGGCTTTGAGTTCAGAGTTTTTGAGACCCTCTCATTCATACTCCAGTACAGTGCTGAAGGAGTGCTGTATTGTCAAAGGTTCCACCGGATGAGATGTTAAACCCCAATCCCCTATCCTCCCTTTGAGGGTGCTGTATTATCCGTAATGCACTTTGGAATATCCTGTGGCGGCAACAGGTGCTATAGAAATGTAAAATTCTCTATCAACTTTGTTATCACAAGAACTAGTAAGTCTCCGTAGTCCCAGAAGGCCACTCTCTCATTTGAGAGTGAGACAACTGATGGTTAGTCTAACCTTAAGGTCACCACATCTCAGGAGAGGGGAGAGTTTGAGAAGATGGCACCTTCATGGTAACCTTAGCTGATGTAGGAATTTAACCCACACTGGGGGTATAACACCGAATCACAAACCAGCCATCCAGCCAACTGACCCCCAGTGGGAACAGGTCCACTCCACGAAACCATTTGAATAATGTCTTTTTGACGATATGTGAATGTTCCCCCCCCATCATCACCCCTACAGCCAATCTCCGTCCTTCCCATGGATCAGCCATGCTAAATTGACCAGGGATGTGCAGACTAGGTGGGTTAGTGATGGATAATGTAGGGTTAAAGGGATAAGGTAGGGGTGGGTGGGTCTGGGTGGGGTGCTCTTTGGAGGGTTGGTGTGGACTCGATGGGCTGAATGGCCTGCTTTCACATTGTAGGGATTCTATGATCAAGGGAGCTATCAATGCAGTTCATGGTCTCAATCTGCAAAATCACATTTTTTTTTTAGAAAAAGAATGACATAAGATGATGTGTGATTTTTTAATGGAAATTATTATCCAGTGATAACTTTCTTAATCAGGTGAATGGGGGTGAAGTGCAAGGAAAATCCTACCATTGAGCCTGACTTGTGACTGAAGGTTACACCTTTAAGATTTTAAAGTAGAAAACATTTAAAAGAAATTATTTTATGTCGAGGGGTCTTAATTTTAGAAGTGAGGATTGCTTGGATACACTGGGATTGTGTTCTTTGGAACAAAGGTGCCTGTATAATATTATGAACAGCCTAGATGGAGTGGATTCTGTTAGCATGGAAATCAATAATCATGGGGTATGGATTTAAAGTAATTGATGGAAGGATTAAATCGGGTGTTGAGAAAAAATCTTTTCACCTAGAAGGTGGAGTCTGGAAATCAGTGTCTGGAATGATGGTTGAAATAGAAACAGCCACACATTTTAAAAAAGTTCTTGAAGTGCTGTAACCTGCAATATATATTATTTCTGATATATTCCTTACATATGGCATGTATATTTTAAACTTCAAAAGGGCAACCTGCATGTGCAAAATTTCTGGAAGCTTTTTTGTTTAGTTTCAGTTTTCATTTCAAAACACAGGGAACAGCAAAGTGACTCAAGAATTACTGCAACCATAGTCCCAGTAGTAACAGACCTCAAAGCTGCCTTTCCCACTATCATTAACTGTCACAGCTTCGAGCAGGAACAATGACTTGCATTCATATGGCACCTTTTAATGTTGTGCTGGGGAACAAGAGTTAGTCGGGGAGTCTGCGACAAGGGGACATCAGCAAGAGTTTTAAAAGCCAAGTCCTTCTAGAAGAAAATTCAGAAACACGCCTCTGAGGTGATAGAAGTTTGGAACTCTCTTCCACAAATTGATGCTAGGTTCATTGTTCATTTTAAATCTGAGGTCAATTGATAGCTGAGGGTATTATGAATATAGGGCAAAGGCAGGTATAAGATGTCAGGTGGTAGATTAGCCATGATCTCATAGCCATAGAGTTGTACAGCACAGAAACAGACCTTCAGTCCAACTCGTCCATGCTGGCCAGATATTGTAAATTAATCTAGTCCCATTTGCCAGCATTTGGCCCATATCTGTCTAAACCTTTCATATTCATATACCCATTCAGATGCCTTTTAAATGTTGTAATTGGACCAGCCTCCACTACTTCCTCTGGCAGCTCATTCCATACTCACATCACCCTCTGCGTGAAAAAGTTGCCCCTTAGGTCCGTTTTAAATCTTACCACCCCTCACCTTAAAACTATGCTCTCTAGTTTTGAACACCCCTACTCTGGGAAAAAAAGACCTTGGCTATTCACCCTATCCATGCTCCTCATGATTTTATAAACCTCTATAAGGTCACCCCTCAGCCTCCGATGCTCCAGGGAAAATAGCCCCAGCCTATTCAGCTTCTCCCTACAGCTCAAACCGTCCAATCCTGGCAACATCCTTAGGCTTGAGGGGCTGAGTGGTCTACTCGCATGTTTGAGAGTGCTTTATGGGACATTAACATATATAAGTTTGACACTGTGCCCCACAAGTCGATATTAGGTTTAAAGGATTCATCAAAGGAAGAGAGAGAGAAAGAAAGCTAAGAAGATGGAGAGATTTAGGGAGAGAATTCCCAAGTTTAGGGCCTCAATAGGCAGAGGTACAGTCACCAATGAGCAAAATTGGAAGGCAGAATTGAAGGAATGCCCTGATCCGAGAGCGTTGTAGGTCTGCAGGAGGTTACAGAGACATGGAGCAAAGCCACAGATGGATTTAAGCACTGGGATTTGAATGGCATGAAGTAATTTATCTCAGAGCGTGACACTGATGGTACAGTGCTGTCAAATGTTACCCTACAACCAAAGTGACATGACACCAGTGCTGTTACAAACTTCTTGGGATTGATTAGTCCAAAGAAGCCGGCAATGTTTCAGGCCCCGCTGCTATTAGGGATGGCTCTGTCGTTTGAATTAATCCTTTGGAAATCACCATACTTACAGTCAAGATTGGAGTTGGCTGATTCATTGACTTGGCTTCCAGTGTATCATGTACTTGGAAGTCTAACAGTTTAGAATACCTAATTCACAAATTGAAAGAAGGAATATGCATTTTATAGCACCCTTCAAGAGCTTGGGATGTCCCAAAGAGCTTTACAAGGCTAACAAAATATTTTCAAAGTGTAGTTTCTGTCATAGGACATGAAAGGGAGCAGGGAACATGTTCATTGGAAAGAACAATGTAATAATGACCAGATCATCTGTTTTTTAGTGATGTTGGTTGAGGGTTAGGTGTCGGCCAGGATGCTGGGAAGAATATCTTTGTATGCATGACTTACAAGGGACTCTTCCTTCATCCTGAAAGAGAATATCAAATATTTTGGAATTTGTTTTTGAACTACAGATCAGAGAAAGATTTATTTAAGTTATGCAGCTCTCTGGTCAGGCCATACCTTGAGTACTGTGATCATTCTTGGTTGCCAAGCCACGAGGGAGAGTTTCAGGCCCAGAGGAATTTCCAGGGCATTGTCATAAGGTTTATTCCCTGAGCTAGCTGTGTGAGGAAGAGCTGAAAGTAGATCGGGCTCTTCAGTCTAGACAAGAGGAGAATGAGAGCGAATGTTTGTAGAAGTATGCAGGACATTGACCGATCTAGAGAAAGTGCATCAGAAATGCCACTTGAAGGCAAACTAAGGTATTGGAATAAGACAGCATTGGTTAAAACTGGTGAAAGGACAATATGTACAGATGGTGCAGAGAAATGCTTCACATAGGGACTGATCCAGAAATCAAAGGGATTTGGGAGAAAGGTAATGGATACAAAACCTTGGAAATACATTAGTGGTTACTAATTCATGGAGTTGCTGGAAGTCAAAATGCTAACTATTTTCAAAATGTTTCCTGATCTGCACTCAGCTATGAGTTCTAGGCTACTATTATAACACTGATTATGGTTCTTTTTTTCCTTTATTCATTCAAGGGATGAGGGCATCACTGGCTAGGCAGCATTTATTGCCCATCCCTAATTGCCCACAGGGCAGTTATGAATCAACCACATTGCTGTGGGTCTGGAGTCACACATGGGCCAGACCAGGTAAGGATGGCAGTTTCCTTCCCTAAAGGATAATTGTGAACCAGATGGGTTTTTCTGACAATTGACAATGGATTCATGGTCATCATTAGACTTTTAGTTCCAGACTTTATTTTAATTAAATTGAAATTCCACTATCTGCTGTGGCAGGATTCAAACCTGGTTCCCCAGAACATTATCAAGTCTCTGGATTAACAGTCTAATGATAGTGCCACCGCCTCCCCCTTTAAAAAAAAGGATAAAAAAAATTGAAAGCCGTACCAATAATTACAAGCTTCAAATTGAATGGAACCTTCAGAACACAAACACCCCTCCTGGAGTATGTCGGTGTTTGAGTTCCTTGCAAGTTTTCTCCCACCATAAAACTCCTTCCCAACCCATTCCTATATTTGTTCCATTCCATTTTCCTTCATGCGTGCACGCTGATACTGGGGGGTATATGCACAGAGCTTATTGGTAAGAAGTTTATTTAAACTCTCCACTGAATCACAGAGGGCTT